GGTGATGAGATCCCCTCTCAGCCTTCTCTTCTCCATGCTGAACCAGCCCAGCTCCCTCAGCCTTTCCTCGTAGGGGAGATGCTCCAGGCCCCCCATCATCCTTGTTGCCCTCCTCTGGACTCTCTCCAGCAGTTCCTCATCTTTCTTGAACCGGGGAGCTCAGAACTGGACCCAGAGCTCCAGGTGGGGTCTCACTGGGGCAGAGCAGAGGGGGAGGAGAACCTCCCTCGCCCTGCTGGATGCCGTAAGAGGTGCCGGCCTGCGGAGCAGCCTGCTCATCAGCCTGCTGGGCTCTTTACACCATCAGCTGTGCTGAGATGTGTTATCAAAAAGTTGGGATCAATGGAAATGATCTTTCCCCTGTAATTTTCGGAAAGCGGAGCTGCAGTAGTGGTTGGATCGTACAGCACTCGAGACAGCACCGTGTTCATTCGACAAAATAGATGGTGGGGTAGCACAATAGGATGTAGTGTTTGTTACCACAATGGAAAAAACCCTGTAAAATAGCCTAAAAATACTGCAGCGAGGTCACCGAAAAGGCGCGCTGAGAATAGATGGTCTGTGCGGAAACCAGAAGTTGAGCAGGGTAAAATAGGAAATGCTCTAAAAGGAGAAGTGTAGAACAAATTGAGAGAGAAATAAATGTGGAAATTTTCAACATGTAGAAGAATTCCTTTAGGAAAACTAGAATTTTGGTATCATCACATTTGTGTGCGTAATTTAAATTTTACCGTGGACTTTTTAAGAAGGAATATAAAGGCTGGATTGTGTTTTTCAGAGGATTTAGACTAGATCTAAGGAAGAAATTCTTTCCAGTGAGGGTGGTGAAACCCTGGCAGGGGTTGCCCAGAGAGGGGGTGGAGGCCCCATCCCTGGGAACATTCCAGGCCAGGTTGGCCAGGGCTGTGAGCAACCTGATGTGGTTCAAGGTGTCCCTGCTCCTGCAGGGGGGTTGGGCTGGGTGGGCTCTGGGGGTCCCTTCCCACCCAAAACAGTCTGTGATTCTATGGTTCTATGATACTGTGATTTCGGAATAATCAAAAGCTGGTGATCAGGTGTAGAACCTTTCGTAGTGAGAGTGCCGTGCACTCCAACGCTGTTTGCAAGGATCATCTGGTGATCGCAATGTACCGGGCTTTCTCAACAAATTAAAACAAAACCAGAAAAAGAAGCCATCTGCTTAGCATCACTCAGTCTTTGGAGCAGTCACCACTTAGTGCATTGTTAAGCTGAAGTGCTCCTGACCGTGCTGTTTTACAGAGCTGCCTACAGGAGGCTCACCTGAAGCAGTTCATGATCTTGACATCCGTCCTACCGCAGCCCTTCTTGAGGAGAGGAGATAAGGACCTCATACCCATCACAACATTTCTGCAGTGGCACTTTGATAGGGCCAAGGTTTTCTGTCTGCAAAAGCCAAAGACAATATGCAAAGACAACAGAGCACCGTGTCCAGTTCTAGGCTCCCCAGCTCAAGAAGGATGAGGAACTGCTGGAGAGAGTCCAGAGGAGGGCAACAAGGATGATGGGGGGACTGGAGCATCTCCCCTAGGAGGAAAGGCTGAGGGAGCTGGGCTTGTTCAGCCTGGAGAAGAGAAGGCTGAGAGGGGATCTCATCACCACCTACAAATATCTCAAGGGTGGGGGTCACCAGGACGGAGCCAGACTCTTCCCAGTGGTGCCCAGCGCCAGGCCAAGGGGCCATGGGCACAACCTGAAGCAGAAGAGGTTCCAGTTGAACGGGAGGAAGAACTTGTTGACTGTGAGGGTGCCCGAGCCCTGGCCCAGGCTGCCCAGGGGGGCTGTGGAGTCTCCTTCTCTGGAGATCTTCAACCCCCGCCTGGACGCTGTCCTGTGCCCCCTGCTCTGGGTGAGCCTGCTTGGGCAGGGGGGTGGCACTGGGTGAGCTCCGGAGGGCCCTGCCAGCCCCGGCCATCCTGGGATTCTGGGATTCTGTGTGATCTATTGGAAAGATCGATTGCCCATTTCACCTGGTACCTGAAGGCTGTTAGGTGGCCTGCTCTCCGTGGTCTTCATGCATTCTGCTGCTTCACAGGTTGGATCTGTGGGCTGATGAACAGAAATTACAGAATCAGAAAGGAACTAGGCTGCAATATATTGAATAATTGGTTTAAGCTGTGAAACGGTGTGATCTTAGCATGGTAAGCAGGGCAGAGCACGCGTTGTGAAGCGGCGTTCAATGCTGATGGAGGCATGCGACTGGAATGTGACTGTAGCTACCATGTGAATCTTCTCTGATGTGTACACCAAGGAAAGAACGTGATCACAAGTAATTCTTTTCTTTCCCAGGACTAAGTTCATCACAGATTCAGAGGCAGACTCCATTCATGGTCTTTAGAGCTCTCACTTAGCATTGACTGAGCCGTAAGGCAACTGAAGGAGGATGGTGAACCTTCAGTTGAGAACCAGCCCTCCCAGTATATTCTCATAGGCACGCCACTCACCTTTCTTTCCTAGTTTGAAAGGAATTTTTCTCTTACTGTTTTCCAATTGATATTAGGATTTTACTTCGTACTTACAACACAGCCCAGTCAACTACAGCCCACGTAAATCCACAGGGGGAACAGCTTCCTCGTGCATGGGTTCTCCATTCAAGATAGCCTTTATTGCCTGCTTTATGTTGCTAAAGCCAAGAGGCCCAGGGTTGAAGATTCTCACTGGTTTGATACTTGCTAATTGTTTATTTCTCGTTAATATTATAAATTGTTAGTAATTGCTTGTTACTAATTTATATTAACGGCAACTACGTGAGTAACTCCTGTCCTGGGTAGCCTTGTCTCCTATTTACATCGATGTTAATATGAATTTTAATTTGAGAGTTGGTCCTAATTCCACTTTGGAATGTCTTAGGGGAGTAGTAGAAAAATGACATCGGAGTAATCAGCCACTAGGTTACGGGCACATGGGCTGTCAGTGCGTTAGGTCAGAAAAGCAGGACTGCCAGGTTACTTCTGAGCGCTCATAAAAGCGTTACCTGGCCTCCCCCATCGCTGCCGTGACTTCAGCGGACGTAAGGACATTTTAAGACTTAATTTTGTAAGTCAACCATGGGCTTAAAGCACATTTTAAGCGCACAACTCGGGCCAGCTATCCACGCTTGGGTGTTTGGCAGCCTTGTCGCCAGCCCTGCAGCCTTCCTTAGACCATCCCCGGATCGTTGCTCCTGTGGGATTAGCACCACCAAGGGAATTTGTGACAGAAGATAAACCGGTCGTTCATATCCATCGTAACACTGTGTTTCCCTTCGCTTTGCCTGTAACGAACAAACAAGTTGCAGGCTGTCTTTCAAACCCAGCGCC